TTAGACTCTGAATGGTTGACTGGACTATATCTAAAAGTATTTGAAACGTCTTGAAAGATGAAATAATAGCCCTACCTGAATTTTCATCTTGTTTATTATCTAATCTTGTTTCTAGAAGATGTTCTAACATTTTCTCTGGTGTACCCGCCATTACAGAATATCTTAAAAACAACAACGTATTATTAATTACAAATTATCATTCTTTGGTCGGAGATTTTTCTTGCCGTTTAGAGTCTTGAGTAAAATCTTGTGTGTGCCGTGCTTCCTTGTGGGCTAATGAAGACGGACAACCCTACGCAGTGTGCAATGAGGGAAATTTTGCCAGGACAGTGGCATTAGCCTACTCTTTTTTGTTTTCCAACTGTCGAGGGATCTTTAACGCACACAGGGCTTCGGTTTATTGTCCCATCTGAACAACTAGACGCTTTTTCCATGTCAGCCTCTCTTACCTACATAACTGACAGGGGAAACTGGGTTGAAAAATCTGAAGGTATTATCTCAACCTATGATGGGATTGAACCCCGGACCTTCTGGTTAGCAAGCAAGCATCTAACTCACTGAGCCACCGTGGCTCCCTAAACATTGTGGTTTATATACTTACTTGTAATGTGACTGGACAGAACCATCTTGAGATTTGACGTTAGTTGGAATTTTTTCTAAAACTAAAACATCTTGTCCATGTTCCTTTAATCTCACTGTGTTTGCTTCTACATCCTACAAGTCAAAAGGTCAATAGGTCAGGTCAATAGGTCAATATCCCAAAAATTTACATAAATACATAACTGATATAGTTTTTCTAGGGATTCAAAATGAAATGAATGGAGTTTTATGTCCTACTTTTCTACACCATGTGGGCCAATGAAATGTTTTACTGGGCTTATGAAGACGGCTAACACCATGCAGTATGCAATGAGGGAAATTTTGTCAGGACAGCGACATATTCCTTCTCTCTCTCTTTAACATGTACAGCCTGTAGTACACGAGGCCTCAGTTTATTGTCCCACCTGAACGACTAGACACTTTTACATATCAGCCCCTCTTACCGACATCACTGACAGGGGACATAACCATATCTCCAAAACACTTGCCCTGATTTTTATTTTATATTAGGAAAAATGTCAGCAGCATGAGATGAGGTCTTGCAATATAGCGTAAATAAAAACTTACACGTAAAATACGATTAAAATCTTCTTTATCAACTCGTAAAAAATGACAGTTATCTTCCCTTAGTACTATCGTAGCCGCCCTACAAAATACAAAATACTAACTTCATTTATTTTCAATTTTCATCACTGTCTATAATCAGTTTGAAGAGTCCATTCAGAGGGATAGATGTGCCATTTTGAGGGGTTGATTTGAGTCTTGAATATATGTAAATAGTCTTCAGAAATACTAGAAATGTACCAAAATCTCAGACGTCTGATTGAAAATTAGAATGATGTAAATTGATGCTATCAGTGTCCCTGATACACATAAAAAATATAGAAAACCTCTTTACAATCTCTTTAACAAGAACCACAGACATCTGATTGAAAATTAGAATGATGTAAATTGATGCTATCAGTGTCCCTGATACACATAAAAAATATAGAAAACCTCTTTACAATCTCTTTAACAAGAACCACAGACATCTGATTGAAAATTAGAATGATGTAAATTGATACTATCAGTGTCTCTGATACACATAAAAAATATAGAAAACCTCTTTACAATCTCTTTAACAAGAACCACAGACATCTGATTGAAAATTAGAATGATGTAAATTGATACTATCAGTGTCTCTGATACACATAAAAAATATAGAAAACCTCTTTACAATCTCTTTAACAAGAACCACAGACGTCTGATTGAAAATTAAAATGGTGTAAATTGATGCTATCAGTGTCCCTGATACACATACAAAATTTTACAACTTTTTGGACATTTTAGAAGGGTAAACTGTCATTACAGGTGTATCCAAATTAAAAAGATTAACATCTTACCTGGGAGCATCGTTAACTAAGGCTAATTTACCAAAATCATCTCCTTCATGTAACGTACAGACAATACCCTGAAATATATCATCATATTTTTAAGAACAAGGGCAATAACTTCTGATTTTCAATAGGGTTCATCCTTGGGTGATTACAAACACTCACACCAAGTTTAATGAAAATCCGTCAAGAATTGTGCCTTCTAGAGTGTTTACAAGCTAAAAATTGAACGCGTTTTCAAGAACAAGGGCAATAATTAATACTAAATATTTTTAGATTTTTCTGATTTTCAATAGGGTTTATCCTTGGGTGATTACGAACACTCATACCAAGTTTCGTCGAAATCGGTCAAGAATTGTGCCTTGTAGAGTGTTTACGACCAAACTAGAAATGAAATGAATGGCCCCTGAAGAGTTTAACTTGATGAAACCGTACATACCAGATCAAGGGTTTCCTAAAGAAAAGTTCTTATTCAATATGGAGACTGCAACCAAAAACTATTTGACCCAAAGAAATTTCACAGATATACAGTTAACTGTCAAAATATGATAGACCTCGATTTCAGAATTCCGAAACCACACAGTTGTAATTTGATATTTTGGCTGCAGTTTATACACCATGTTAATAAGAATAATAATTTAAAGCTATACCTTCCCATAAATTACAACATTAACAGATCCCTTTAATATAATATACCAAGACTTCCCCACATCACCTTGATTAAATACTGAAAAAAAAAAAAAATTTTTAGAGCAAGACAATGCATTTTTCGGCCAATTGCGACAAATTTCATGCCAAGTTTCGTCAAAATCCATCAAGAATTGTGCCTTCTAGAGTGTTTACATCATCTTGATTAAATACTGAAAAAAACAAAATTAGTAATTAGACGTAATTTGAGCTTAATGCTAGAGGCAGACAAGCGAATTTTTCGTGTGTTTTTAAAAATTGTTGCAATTGGTCCAAAAACATGACATAATTTGAGCCTTATGCTGGAAGCAAGACAAACGAATTGATCAGCCAATTGCGACAAATTTTAAAAACACCCAAAAAATTCGCTCTCGTTGCCCGCCTCATGTTGACGACGAATCACCAGCATAAAAATTTTCAGCTGAATATTTATGCCGACAATTATTTTCGCTTGTTTGTCCGGTGTATTTTTTTTAAATATTGGAGTCTTGTCAGTTTCATCGACTGGCACGAGCACACAAAAATCTTCAGGCGGTCGTTTTCCACCTTGTCGATAATCACATGCAGATCATGTAATTGAAAGGAAAATGAATCTGATTGGATGATGATGGTCTGTCTTACAGATGATAAAAATATCAGAGACAATTATCAAACTTGTTTAATTTTATAAATCCTGTTGGCAACATGATATTATAAATCCACCTCCGAAGTAAACCAAGTACTAACGATCCAAACCGCAAAAGAAACTGGAAATCTAAAACAACATACTGGTGAAACATTGGTAGCAGTTAATGAACTTTTCACACGAGGAAGTATATCAATCATAAAGGAGTAAATAAATAGTTCTAATAAGACTTACAAACAGTGCCGGCTTCTGCATGTGATTCGAATATAAGAACACTGGCTAACTCTCGTTTAACCATGGTAGAAAGATGAGAAAGAGCTTTGATGTGGAGTAATTCTTCATATACTATCTCTAGGTCTTCACTTGTTCTTTCTGTTGGCCTGAAAAAACACATAAAAAATTTAGAAAATCTTTTTACAATCTCTTTAACAAGAACCACAGACGTCTGATTGAAAATTAGAATGATGTAAATTGATGCTATCACTGTCTCTGATACACATAAAAAATTTAGAAAACCTCTTTACAATCTCTTTAACAAGAACCACAGACGTCTGATTGAAAATTAGAATGATGTAAATTGATGCTATCAGTGTCCCTGATACATATAAAAAATTTAGAAAACTTCTTTACAATTTCTTTAACAAGAACCACAGACATCTGATTGAAAATTAGAATGATGTAAATTGATGCTATCAGTGTCCCTGATACACATAAAAAATATAGAAAACCTCTTTACAATTTCTTTAACAAGAACCACAGACATCTGATTGAAAATTAGAATGGTGTAAATTGATGCTATCAGTGTCCCCGATACACATAAAAAATATAGAAAACCTCTTTACAATTTCTTTAAAAAGAACCACAGACATCTGATTGAAAATTAGAATGATGTAAATTGATGCTATCAGTGTCTCTGATACACATAAAAACTCTTTAATTGAGCCACTGTAAAATTTTCTAAAAATGTAAAATTCCAAACTTACTGTTTTCGAAGAATCATCCTCATCATGGCATCAGGACCGATCGTAGCTAACATGAGGACAGTATCAGGAAGTCTGTCTTCGGCTTCTTTCTTCTCAATATTGGTCGGAACCGTTCCAATCCCCTCGTCATCATCTTCGAATCGATAAAAAAGGTATTTATCTTTAAATTGGTGCTCACGACACACTGAAAAGAAAAAACATGACTGTGGTATTAACCCTTTTAACATTAACACTAGTGGTTATATATATAACACAAATATTTACATTAGCTATCGAACTTTTGATTTTTTTGTGGCAAAGTTTGTGGTGTGTTTTTCAGGGGGACAGATTTTTCCAGATTTACTTAAGGGTCAGAAAGGGGGTGCCTTCTATTTGCAATTATACAATATTAGTGAACCTATTCAGAAACACTGTCCAAAATCTGGTTCTACAAGAAGTAAATTTTTCAAAGCACCTTTTCTACGAGGGTGTGCGCACAATATTCACAAATATTTACATTAGCTATTATTTTTTCCATTAGACTAATACAAATTCATGAGGCTTTAAAACATTAGGCATAGTAATTTTAACCAATGACGCTGTTGTTCATTGAAGTCATTGTATCAAGTAGACGGTCTCAAATGTAAACAATCATGTCGGTAGTCCCAAACGTTGAAACGTAAAGAAATAGGCCCTACTTAATTATGTGTTTTATGTTATTTACACTAAGTGTTCAAGGGGTTAAGGGTATATGTTTTATGTTATTTACACTCAGTGTTTAAAGGGTTAAGGGTATATAATGTTTTATCTTATTTACACTCAGTGTTTAAAGGGTTAAGGGTATATGATGTTTTATGTTATTTACACTCAGTGTTCAAAGGGTTAAGGGTATATGATGTTTATTGTTATTTACACTCAGTGTTTAAAGGGTTAAGAGTATATAATGTTTTATGTTATTTACACTCTGTGTTTAAAGGGTTAAGAGTGTATGATGTTTTATCTTATTTACACTCAGTGTTTAAAGGGTTAAGGGTATATGATGTTTTATGTTATTTACACTCAGTGTTTAAAGGGTTAAGGGTATATGATGTTTTATGTTATTTACACTCAGTGTTTAAAGGGTTAAGGGTATATGATGTTTTATGTTATTTACACTCAGTGTTTAAAGGGTTAAGGGTGTATGATGTTTTATGTTATTTACACTCAGTGTTCAAGGGGTTAAGGGTATATGTTTTATGTTATTTACACTCAGTGTTTAAAGGGTTAAGAGTGTATGATGTTTTATGTTATTTACACTCAGTGTTTAAAGGGTTAAGAGTGTATGATGTTTTATGTTATTTACACTCAGCGTTTAAAGGGTTAATCAAAGCTTTACTGAAGACTATAAAGAAAAAATCATGATTGTGGAATTAACCCTTTTATAGTAGAATATCTCTATTGATATAGCTAAACTTGTAGCTCGCACTTTTTCTAGGTCAGTTAAATTCATTCATAACAAACTGTTATAAAACCAAATTTTAAACCAACAAGATTAGCTAAAATTAAAGTTGATAATCTTGATAATCTTAAAGTAGAATAGCTCTCTATTCATAAAGCTATAAGCCAATCTATTAAATTGTAAAATTAAACCAATTTAAAGATGGGTTCCCTTATTTTTATTTTCATTGCTAATACTTATATGAATAGAAAGTAGAGAAAAATACCAGTTTGTCTCACATGTCCATAATTAATTCATAATTAGCTAAATTAGAAGAGAATTACCAGCAGAATTCCAATGAGTGACCAATCAAGAAAGGTCAATCAAGAAAGGTCACAAAGTCTTCTTTTGTTTATCCAGACTGTACATACATGGACATTTATGATTGGTTAAAACGTAAATTATATGCGATGAGAACATGCGATAAGAACATAATGATATGAATAAGAATACATGATAATTCATTAGAAACATCAATTAATCTTTAAAACTAATTCAATGGATTTATGGGATTCATCAGGGATTATGTTGTATAGTTTTGACACCAGGCAAGTTTGAGATTTCAATTTGTATGTCCATTCTAAGAGGTAGTATCCCTTTAAAATAAAATAAAAAATCCTTAGTGTTTTACCTTTAGTGTATGATAATCCTACAATGATTGGTGCTCGTGCATTGTGAGAAATCCCTGTCCCCATACTAATCCTACTTAAGAGGATTATCTACTCACTAATCCAGTGATTAAGTGGGTAATATATTTGAAATATCCAGACTAACAGAGTTATACAATATTGTTTTTATTTCAGTATATAACACATCCATTTCTAATTTCACTATAGAGCACATTTACTTTGTATTCAATTTGTATTTGATACAACCATTTTGTATTCAATTTGTACTTGATACAACCATTTTGTATTTAATTTGATACACTCATTTGTATTTGGAACATCTAATTTGTATTTAATACATCCATTTTGTATTAATTTGATACACTCATTTGTATTTGGTACCACATCTAATTTGTATTTGCTACATCCAATTTGTATTTGCTACATCCAATTTGTATTCAATATTTTCCTTTTAACCTATTTAAAAAACACAAAGAAATTAAATTCGAATTGAATAACAATTCCACTAACCATTTTGTATATAATTTGAAACATTCATTTGTAATTGGTACATCTAATTTGTATTTGTATTCAATTCAAAATACATATTTAATACATCCATTTGTATCCAATTTGTATTTGTATCTTCAATTCACATAAAACTTTTCACTAAACAAATAATGTATTTATTACATTCATTTGTATTAAATTTGTATTCGATACATCCATTAGGAATCAATTTGTTTTTGATACATCCATTTAAATCTAATTTGTATTTAGTATATCCATTTGTATTTTCACTTTAGATATCCCTTTTACCTATTTACAAAACACAAATTAAATTCACAGCGACTAACAATTCCACTAAAACTAAGTGTTTTATGACGTCACTATCGCAAAGGCCCTTAGATATTATTAGCACCTTTTGCAACAATGGCTTCTGAATACGGTTCAGCATTTCTATAATTACAGGAACCACAGACGTCTGATACACATAAAAAATTTAGAAAACCTCTTTACAATCTCTTTAACAAGAACCACAGACGTCTGATTTAAAATTGGAATGATGTAAATTGATGCTATCAGTGTCCCTGATACACATAAAAAATATAGAAAACCTCTTTAAAATCCCTTCTTAAATGAACTCAAATGCCACACAATTAACCCTTTTCTACCAAAATGTCTTGTGTCAAAACCTTCACCCTTAAAACTAACAGTGCACAATGAATTCAATAAAACACTTTACAAAAGCTGTCGCAATTTTAGAGGCATGTATTTTAACATAACTTTTTACTTTCTATATTCACAATGAAATAAAAACAACCTCAATATAAAAGATAACTAATAATCAATAACAAGTACTGAACTATTGAACGATTCTACAAACACTATTACTGATTAGTTTATCTCAAATATTCCTGTTTCTGACACTAAGGTACAAATTTATACCATTCTAATTTCCAATCAGACGTCTGTGATTCCTGCAGTTCCACTAAAACTAAATGTTTTATGACATAACACGCGCAAAATTTGTTTGCATTATGTAAGATCTTCACGTGGGTGACATCATAAAACACTTAGTTTTAGTGGAATTGTAGGAATCACAGACCATGAAAATTGGAATGGTACAAATTGATGCTATCAGTGTCTCTGATACACATATAAAATTTAGAAAACCTTTTTACAATCTCTTTAACAAGAACCACAGACATCTGATTGAAAATTAGAATGATGTAAATTGATGCTATCAGTGTCTCTGATACACATACAAAATTTAGAAAACCTTTTTACAATCTCTTTAACAAGAACCACAGACGTCTGATTGAAAATTAGAATGATGTAAATTGATGATATCAGTGTCCCTGATACACATAAAAAATTAAGAAAACCTCTTTACAATCTCTTTAACAAGAACCACAGATGTCTGATTGAAAATTAGAATGGTATAAATTGATGCTATCAGTGTCCCTGATACACATACAAAATTTAGAAAATCTCTTTACAATCTCTTTAACAAGAACCACAGACGTCTGATTGAAAATTAGAATGATGTAAATTGATACTATCAGTGTCCCTGATACACATACAAAATTTAGAAAACCTTTTTACAATCTCTTTAACAAGAACCACAGACATCTGATTGAAAATTAGAATGATGTAAATTGATGCTATCAGTGTCCCTGATACACATAAAAAATTTAGAAAACCTCTTTACAATCCCTTTATAATAACTAGCCGTGATTATGGTTTGTAATTAACTTGGCAGATTGTCAAGATATTATTTCGGTAAGTAATACAATACATATTTAAAACAATAGATAAAGATATACAAGTTTTAAATTTCCATATTAACTTTCAACAGAGCAGGTTGGTGATAGCCCCCTTTTACCATATATTGACCAATATACTTATATATCAAATATCTTTACTTATTTCAAAGGAGCAGTGGTGGCTCAGTGAGTTAGACACTTGCTCACTAACCTAAAGGTCCTGGCATAGGACAAGATAATACCTTCAGATTTTTCAACCTGGTTTCCCCGTGTCAGTGAGTTAGATGCTTGCTTGCTAACCTGAAGGTCCAGGGTTCAATCCTAGCACAGGTCGAGATAATACCTTCAGATTTTTCAACCCGGTTTCCCCCTGTCAGTGATGCAGGTAAGAGGGACTGATTTGGAAAACCGTCTAGTCGTTCGGTGGGACAATAAACCGAGGCCCCGTGCTACAGGCTGTGCACGTTAAAGATCCCTCGACAGTTGGAAAGCGAAAAATAGCAGGCTTATGACGTTGTCCTGGCAAAATTTCCCTCATAGCACCCTGCATGGCGTTGACGGTCTTCATTAGCCCACATGGTGCAGAAAAGTAGGAAGTAAAACTCCATTCATTTCATTTCCCAAACTGTTTTAATATCAAAATCAATTCTATTTCTATTACAAAATCAAACTTAAAATCATTTCCCTTCATTATATCAAAGGTCCTTTCATGTTATTAACAGTTTTGCATTAGTGATGTCATAAAATGCTTAGTTTTAGTGAAATTGCAAGAACCACAGACGTCTGATTGAAAATTAGAATGGTGTAAATTGATGCTATCAGTGTCCTTGATACACAGAAAAAATATAGAAAACCTCTTTACAATCTCTTTAACAAGAACCACAGACATCTGATTGAAAATTATCCCTTGAAGGTTTTTTTTTTTTTAGCTTTCCTGATGATGATTGTCAATTAGCTAACATTAAGTCCCATTTCTAAAACTAGCTGTCCTGATGAGGATTGTGTATCTGAAACATGTCAGCAGTATGAGATGAGCTCTAGTCAATTAGCTAACATTAAGTCCTATATTAGAAAGTTAACCTCTATTTCTAAACTAGCTGTCCTGATGAGGGTTGTGTATTTGAAACACTTGCCAACAGCATGAGATGAGCTCTAGTCAATTAGCTAACATTTAGTCTTGTATTGGAAAGTTAATCTATATCCAAAACTAACTGTCCTGATGAGGATTGTGTATCAGAAACATGCCTTCTATTATCACACAAGAAACATGACAGCTTGTATCAGTGTACCATATACAAACTAACTGTCCTGATGAGGATTGTGTACCAGAAACATGCCTTCTATTATCACACAAGAAACATGACAGCTTGAATCAGTGTATACAAACTAACTGTCCTGATGAGGATTGTGTATCAGAAACATGCCTACTATTATCACACAAGAAACATGACAGCTTGAATCAGTGTATACAAACTAACTGTCCTGATGAGGATTGTGTATCAGAAACATGCCTTCTATTATCACACAAGAACATGACAGCTTGAATCAGTGTACCATATACAAACTAACTGTCCTGATGAGGATTGTGTATCAGAAACATGCCTTCTATTATCACACAAGAACATGACAGCTTGAATCAGTGTATACAAACTAACTGTCCTGATGAGGATTGTGTATCAGAAACATGCCTACTATTATCACACAAGAAACATGACAGCTTGAATCAGTGTATACAAACTAACTGTCCTGATGAGGATTGTGTATCAGAAACATGCCTTCTATTATCACACAAGAACATGACAGCTTGAATCAGTGTACCATATACAAACTAACTGTCCTGATGAGGATTGTGTATCAGAAACATGCCTTCTATTATCACACAAGAACATGACAGCTTGAATCAGTGTATTGTATCGTGTTGACCTTTATCAATAACCCATCAACTATTTTACAATCTAAATAAATCAATATTTCTATTACAAATAATAACTCTATCTTTCACAGTCTGGTATTCTTCCCTTAGAAATACTTTTATTAGAGTAAATATATCGTTTAAATTTCTTATTTTTTATCTTTTAAAGATGGGTTGCCTTATTTTTATTTATGAAAATGAAAATGCTAATATTTGTATGAATAGAAAGTAGAGGTGTTCTAATGACTTGGAAAAATACCAGTTTGTCTCACAAACCTCTTGGTATTGATTTTACAAGGATAATAACTTAGGTTCACAAGGATCCTTTGTACCAGCTGGTCCTTGGTCAAACCTCTTAGTAATGATTTTACAAGGATAATAACTTAGGTTCACAAGGATCCTTTCTACCAGCTGGTCCTTGACCAAACCTCTTGGTAATGATTTTACAAGGATAACAACTTAGGTTCACAAGGATCCTTTCTACCAGCTGGTCCTTGGTCAAACCTCTTGGTAATGATTTTACAAGGATAACAACTTAGGTTCACAAGGATCCTTTCTACCAGCTGGTCCTTGGTCAAACCTCTTGGTATTGATTTTACAAGGATAACAACTTAGGTTCACAAGGATCCTTTCTACCAGCTGGTCCTTGGTCAAACCTCTTGGTAATGATTTTACAAGGATAACAACTTAGGTTCACAAGGATCCTTTCTACCAGCTGGTCCTTGGTCAAACCTCTTGGTATTGATTTTACCATGGATAACAACTTAGGTTTACAGTTAAAGATGGGTTCCCTTATTT